CGCTGACACTGAGGACGGCGTGGGACTGTTAGCTAGACAAACAAGAGACAGGTTGGGGTAGGTGTCAATACTCCCGTACATGAAGAATTGTGAGGACATGTGAACCTGATCTTTAATGCGACTTACGAGCGAACCATCATCAAAAAACATGCGGGCAGAAGTTAGTCTGGCGTAGCCCATACATGTGTCATTGTAAACTAAGGTAGGTATCGCCAGTCCCGTACAAGGACAAGAGAGAGCGAATGAGCGTCTGGCAGATATCATCACATACACGTCAAACACTGTGAGTTAGATGCCTGCAGTAGTTCCGTACAGGTGAAGATTAGAGTAGTGAAGGTGATTGATTCCTCTTTCTCTCCTTCCCTCTCTTCCCTTCCTCCGTCTCCTCCCCCCCTCCCCTACCCCTGAACTCGAGTTCCCGTCAAGAAAAAAAAAAAACTTCCATTGCAGCAAAAGGCGGCGGGCGAACGTTCGTCTGGCGTAGTTAACTTCCACACGCGTCTCATTGTAGTATAGTAGTTTGGGGAGAAGGAAAACTAGACCCTCCTCTTGATTGCTCCCACCGACCCTGTTCTTATTTTTTACGAGGTGGTTCTTTAATCTGATGCCTCATGGATCACAACTAGCTGGTGTTAATTGTATACGTGTAAAGTACTCGCTGACTGTGAGAGAGAGAGAGGCTGGGAGGAAGGCCGTGAGAGATAGTGTGAGATATAGAGAGGCTGGGAGGAAAGATGTGAGAGAAAGAGACAAGGACGAAGATTGAGATAGATGAAGAGAGAGATGAAAGGTTGTTTAGGTAGTTGTGCAGTGATTGTGATCTGGAGGGATGATGGAAGCTGATCGATGCCTGGTGGTTGTTGTTGAAAAGTACTGATATTATTATTATTATTATTATTATTATTATTATTATTATTATTATTATTATTATTATTATTATTATTATTATTATTATTATTATTATTATTATTATTATTATTATTATTATTATTATTATTATTGTTGTTGTTGTTGTTGTTGTTGTTATTGTATTATTATTATTATTATTATTATTATTATTATTATTTTATTATTATTATTATTATTATTAATTATTATTATTATTATTATTATTATTATTATTATTATTATTATTATTATTATTATTATTATTATTATTATTATTATTATTATTATTATTATTATTATTATTATTATTGATGTTATTGTTGTTGTTGATGATGTTACTGTAATTGATGAGTAATTTCAGTGTAATTCAAGCGTTCCACCAGCCAGGGGAGGGGGGGCGAGGCGGGGAGAAAAGGGTCTTTAAGCATCGTTCACCGAGTTCTTACTCTTGGTCACGCTCGTCAACACTGAACAAGTAAAAGATATTCTCTCATGATGCCTTATATATGGAGCTCGCTTCCCATTCTTATCCTGACTAAATTATACATTAGGTCAGCTGTTTGAGGAAGAATAAATAAAGAGATTGATAATAAGAAAGGAGGAGGAGGAGGAGGAGGAGGAGGGGAGGAGGAGGAGGAGGAGGAGGAGGAGGAGGAGGAGAATGGGTAGTCGTGATGTGGAGAGATGTTGATTCCTTTACCTAGACGGTGTGAATAGAGAGATAAGAGAGATAGGGAGGGAATAGAAAGACAGGTGTTAATGATCCTGATGATGATCGGACGCCTTATGAAGGAGTACAGGTGTTGATATTCATAGACGGTGTGAGATAGAGATAGAGAGGAAATAATAAGACGGCTGTGAATGATATTGAGAGATATTGGAATATGATCTAATGCCATATAAAGCATCACACCTGCCGAGAGAGACACTATACACACTGGTGGGGAGGCGTGAGGTAGGGTCACGCCTCCACCACATTAATCGACTTTAATTGCTGCTAACTCTCCAGTGACCACAATGGTACAATGGTTAATAAATGACTGGTGTAATATCCCCACACACCCACACACTCGAGTTAAACATGTGTCCATTAGAGGCTTCCAGGGCTGGTGGTGTTACTGTGGGTATTGGGTGTGGGTATTGGTGTGGGTGACAGTGTGGGGATTGGTGTTGGGTTGGTATAGTGGGTGGTGGTAGTGGTGGTGGTGTTGCTAGATGGTAGTGCTTCGTAGTGGTGTGGTGATGGTAATGGTGCTGGGTGGTAGTGTTGCATAGTGGTGTGAGTGGTAGTGCCAGTGGGTGGTGGTGCTGGGTAATACTGTGTGGGCGGTGGTGGGTGGTGTGTTGCAATGGTGCTGGGTGATAGTGGTGTTGGGTAATACTGTGTGGGCGGTGGTGGGTGTGTGTTGTGGTGCTGGGTCATAGTGGTGCTGGGTAATGCTGTGTGGTGCTGGGTGATAGTGGTGCTGGGTATACTGTGTAATGGTGCTGGGTGATAGTGGTGCTGGGTAATACTGTGTATTGGTGCTGGTGATAGTGGTGCTGGGTAATACTGGCTGTGATATACTGTAGTGGTGCTGGGTGATAGTGGTGCTGGGTAATACTGTGTAATGGTGCTGGGTGATAGTGGTGCTGGGTAATACTGTGTAATGGTGCTGGGTGATAGTGGTGCTGGGTAATACTGTGTAATGGTGCTGGGTGATAGTGGTGCTGGGTATGCTGGGTGATAGTGGTGCTGGGTGGTAGTGACGTTGACTAATAGTTGGTAGGTGATGGTGGTGCTGGATAATGCTGCGTAGTGGTGCTGGGTAATGGTGCTGAGTAATGTTGTGGGTGGTAGCGGGTGGTGGTGGGTGGTAGTGGGTGGTGGTGGTAGTGAGAAAGGTCAGATTCCATTGTGTATCAATATATTTCACTCTCCTACTTTATTACTGTTTGCCTCTCTCTCTCTCTCTCTCTCTCTCTCTCTCTCTCTCTGTAAGTACTGTAAACACACACATATGGCCACGTACAGTAACTGATGGCTGTATCGGCATTCAGTCAGTCAGTCAGTCAGTCAGAGTGATACACCTTATCATGTACCCACTATAAATCTCTCCCGACACACAGATAAATTACACCTTTAATTCTCTTCTTCTCTTGTTAGTGGAGGAGAATTTATACACTCTGGAGAGACGAGATGGATGTAGGAGATTATAAGATGGTGTTGAGATGAATGGATACTTTTACTGAGAGATAATTGATGTAAGGGAATGAATTGATCTTCCAGTGAGAGATGTTTTGGTGTGAGAGAACCTATGAAATTAACATGTTTAGGTGAGATTTGTACTCTTTTAGTGATTCTAGAGAGAGATTTCCCAGTATTATTTAGAGAGGAATTAATCTAGAACTAATTTATTCTTAAAAAATAAATAAAATTCTGAGATAAAAAAATACTATGGTTTTACAAATGAATTATTCTATTAAGTTTCTTCTTCTTCACGAGTCTCTTGTTGAAATTTATTCTGAAGACTTAAAAATAATCTACACAAATTTATTCTTCAACAAAAAATCACAAATTACTGATACAAGGCAAATACAATATGGTTTTAGAAATTATTTATTCTATTAATTTATATTCTTCTTCATCTTCACGAGTCTCTTATTCAAATATATTCTTAAGAGTCAAAGAAGAATATTGACGAAGAGAAAATACAATTAGTTCCTCAGATAATTAATTCCCTTAGGCTTTTAACCCGATCAATCTTGCCAATACTATTTAAATCTATACTCCAGGAGAGATAATGAGGGGAGGTGAGGGAGAGGTGGGGAGAGGTGGGGGAGAGGTGAGGAGAGGTGAGGGGAGGTGAGAGGAGAGAGAGGTGGGAGGTGAGAGGTGAGAGAGGTGAGGAGAGGTGAGGAGAGGTGGGGAGAGGTGAGGAGAGGTGAGAGAGAGAGGTGGGGAGGTGAGAGAGAGGAGAGGTGAGGAGAGGTGAGAGAGGTGAGAGAGAGAGGTGAGAGAGGTGGGGAGAGAGGTGGGGAGAGGGTGAGAGAAGAGAGGTAGAGAGGTGAGAGAGAGGTGGGGAGGTGAGAGGTGAGAGGAGGAGAGAGGGTGAGGAGAGGTGGGGGAGAGGAGTGAGAGAGGTGAGAGAGGTGAGGGAGAGGTGGGGAGGGTGGGGAGAGGAGTGAGAGGTGAGAGAGAGGTGGGGAGGTGGGGAGAGAGGTGAGGGAGGTGAGAGAGAGGTGAGAGAGGAGTGGGGAGAGGTGAGAGAGAGAGAGAGAGAGAGAGAGGTGGGGAGGTGGAGAGAGATGAGAGAGAGGTGGGGAGGGTGGGGAGAGAGGTGGGGAGAGGTGAGAGAGAGAGGGTGAGAGAGAGAGGTGAAGAGGTGAAGGGAGGTGAGAGAGAGAGGTGGGGAGAGAGGTAGAGAGGTGAGGGAGAGGAGAGGGAGAGGTGAGAGAGAGGTGAGAGAGAGGAGGGAGAGGAGGGAGAGGGAGAGAGAGAGGAGAGAGAGGGGTGGAGGGAGAGGTGAGGGAGAGGTGAGGAGAGGTGAGGGAGAGGTGAGGGAGAGGTGGGGGGAGAGAGGGAGGAGAGGTGGGGAGAGGTGAGGGGAGAGGTGGAGGGAGAGGTGGAGGGAGAGGTGGAGGGAGAGGTGAGAGGGAGAGGTGAGAGAGAGGTGAGGAGGTGAGAGAGAGAGGAGAGAGAGAGGTGAGAGAGAGAGGGAGAGGAGAGAGAGGAGAGGAGAGAGAGGTGAGGTGTAGAGGTGAGAGAGAGGAGAGGGTGAGGTGAGGGAGAGGGGTGAGAGAGGTGAGAGAGAGGTGAGAGAGAGAGGTGAGAGAGAGAGGTGAGAGAGAGGTAAGGGAGAGGTGAGAGAGGAGAGAGAGAGAGGAGGGAGAGGTGAGAGAGAGAGGTGAGAGAGAGAGGTGAGAGAGGAGAGAGAGAGGAGAGAGAGAGGTGAGGGAGAGGTGAGAGAGAGAGGAGAGAGAGGTGAGAGAGAGGTGAGAGAGGGGTGAGGGAGAGAGGTGAGGGAGAGGTGAGGGAGAGGTGAGAGAGAGGTGAGAGAGAGGAGAGAGAGAGGAGAGAGAGAGGAGGGAGAGGTGAGAGAGAGAGGAGAGAGAGGTGAGAGAGAGGTGAGAGAGAGGTGAGGAGGAGGGAGAGGTGAGGGAGAGGTGAGAGAGAGAGAGGTGAGGGAGAGGTGAGGGAGAGAGGAGAGGAGAGAGGTGAGGGAGAGGTGAGGTAGAGGTGAGAGAGAGGAGGGGAGAGGTGAGAGAGAGGTGAGAGAGAGAGGGTGAGAGAGAGAGGTGAGAGAGAGGAG